TCACTTTTAATGTCGATTTCAGGTAATCCTGAAGCCATATTTATCCTCTTTAGCTCTCTGATGTCATTGAAGTTGAGATGGCCTAGTAAAAAATTCCATAACCATTCATCTTTGCTGGCTGTAGTTGCTAAATACTTGTGCTACATCACATTGAGTTCAATCTTGAAGGTCCTATTCTAAGACATTGGAGCCTTCAAGATCAACCTACCATCTGCGTCGAGAACTCTCATCATCTTGTCTTTGATTGACACTTTATAGTTTTTTTCGACTAGCTGCCCTATACTGAGCAAATTACTCTTCATGCTTGGTATATACAACAATTGGAAATTGTTGAACTCTTGCCATCTTTCCTTATAATCAAAACACCGCCAATATCTTCAGCTGCTAGAGTATTGTCACTTTCAAATTTCACCATGTTCTTCACGAGGGATTCATGTTGATAAATCAATCTTTCCTTCCAGTCATGTGTGATGAGCATCCTGAGTCCAAGTACCACTAGTCCTGGAATCTCTCTTCATCTCTTGTTGTGACCATTAGCAACATCTCTTCTTCTTCATGCTTTGCCATCTTTGCATCAGTTTCTTGATTCTTCTTCTTTTCTCGACATTCACTAAAATAGTGACCATACTCCTGACAATTAAAACACTGAATGTGGCTTTTGTCAGGCTTTCGTCCACCAACTCTTCCTCTACCTGCAACACTACCTCTTTGGTTGCCTTGGTTCTAGGATTTTCTTTGATTCGACCAGTTTCCTTCCTGCTGATTTCGACCAGTCAAATTGTTGTAGCCTCATCTACCTTTGTTGTCATTCCAGCTTCCTTTGCCTTTTCTTTCCTTTTCTGACTGCGCTTGCAAAGTCATATCACTCTTCGACTTTCTCGCAGCTCTCTCAGCCATCCTTTGTTCATGAGACTCAAGTGTCCCTTGAAGCTCTTCCTTCGTCAATGTTGACAAGTCTTTCGACTTTTCTATTTCTACTACCACGTGGTCGAACTTTGGAGCCAACGACCTCAAGATCTTTGCAACAACTGATTTTGATGTCAACACTTCTCCACATACCTTGATTTGATTCATCAGCTTTGTAACTTTAGTGAAGAAATCTGCTATACTTTCACTTTCTTCCATCTGAAGCAATTCATAGGTTCTCTTGTGAGTTTGTAACATCACCTCTTTCACCTTTTCTGTACCTCCAAACAACTTTTTAAGAATCTCTCACGCTTCCTTCGCTGATTCTACATCACTAACCTTTTCAAAATTATTTGGATCTACACATTGATGAATTATACAGAGAGCTTTATAATCTTTCTTCTTCAATTCTTTGAATGCAGCTTTTTCTTGATTTGTCGCGTTTTCTACAAGCGGTGTTACTCCTCCCTTCACAAGATCCCAAAGATCTTGATAACATAAAATCACCTTAATATGCTTGCACCAATTATCATAATTATCTTTCTTGAGAATTGGAAAGTTTGCTGGAAAGTGACCGTTTGGATGATTCATCGCCATCACGACTTTTCTTCCTTGAATCGTAACTGGAGCTCTAGATACCATATGTTGGAAATTCAACCACAACCTATGGAGAATTTTACTCAATCAATCTTGATCTCAAGATTGTTTCAACTCATGTAATGACAATGAAAGAAAAGTTTAGAAAGAAAGAAAGTAAACGTTAGAGAAGAAGAAGTTGAACAATTTTCTGCGTAGAACTCTCTGCCCACAAACTGTGGAAATTTTGTTATTTCACTAGCAACTACAAACTTTGAATTACAAAATATGATGAGATGTTTACAAAATAAGGATTTCTCCCTATTTGTAGATTTAGGTTGGCTTGCACCCCAAACTATAAAAATGCAAAAATATCTAATCTAATCTTTCTAAATCAATTCAGATCTTTGTAAATCAAATCTAATCTTTATAAAACAATAAATTACATATTTAACAGTTTTGACCTAGTCTCTCTTCTTTTTTTTTTATATATATCACCTTTTATTTTATTTTAACATTTTGATACTTTATTAAAAAAAAAACTGCAATATAAAATAAGACATCTGACATATAATAAAAATGTTGTTGACACATAGAATTAGAATTTTTAGTTGCCTGAAGTTATATCATCTCATTTGATAAATATATATGACTTGGAGCGAAATCAAATCAGTTATATCTCATTTATTTATTTTTAAAAGATAAAATTTTGATTACTAAATTATTAGACAAAACAAAATAGAAATCTAACAATCACTTTTCTTGTGTAAATTAAATTCCACAAATTTATAAATGTATTTATTTTACTATATACATAAACTAAATTTTTATTATTAATCAATAATTATATTTACTATACTTACCTCACATATAAATAAATATCAAACAAATATTAATTATTGATGTAATAATTCTTAACGAATATTAGTATAACTTTTACTCTACCATAAATTTCTATTAAAAGATCATAATATATCTGAATCCATAATGGATATAAATTCTAAAAATCATATTTCTAAAATTACCATAAAAAGTAATTTCATATCTTAAAACAAATATATGTTTATATTCATTTATTACATATTAAATATAACTGATCATGTATTTAAATAAATTAACTATCTAAAATGTTGTCCAATTTTGATGTAAAACTGTATTTCAAAATATTATTTTAAAACTAACTATAAAATACAGTAGTAGCTAGTTTAGATACACCATTCTAAGGTTAATAGGTGGTGATTTTTCATTTAATGGGAATTAATATCCGAAGGAAAAAAATAGTATAATAGCAAAAAATGGAAAGTGCAAGTTTTCAAACTTGTCAAAGACTTGTTGATATTGAGTTACTGGTGAACAAACTCCATCACGTGCTCACCTTAAACCCAAAAATTAAACAGTTTCTTTTCTTCAACTAACTGAAAATTTTAGTGTTATTTAACAACTTAAATAACTCTCTTTTCTCAACATAAAAACTGCATTAGTGTTCATAAGTTTCATAGTAAAATATTGTGTTTGCAAATAAACATTATGGCTAGTATCAAAGATCTAGGAAAGAAGAAAGCATGTGTGATTGGTGGCACAGGTTTTGTGGCATCTATGCTCATCAAACAGTTGCTTGAAAAGGGTTATGCTGTTAATACTACAGTTAGAGACCCAGATAATTCTAAGAAAGTATCACACCTAGTGGCACTGAAGAGTTTAGGGGAACTGAATCTGTTTAAGGCTGAATTAACAGTTGAAGGAGATTTTGATGCTTCTATAGCAGGATGTGAACTTGTTTTTCAACTTGCTACACCGGTGAACTTTGCGTCTCAAGATCCTGAGGTAAGTTTCGAAACTGCATTGTATATTTTCGATAAAACAGTGATGTTTTTTAGAATAGAATAATGATGATAAAATTCTTGTTATTATTATGTGTTTAGAATGACATGATAAAGCCAGCGGTCAACGGGGTGTTGAATGTGTTGAAAGCGTGTGCGAAAGCAAAGGAAGTGAAAAGAGTTATCTTAACATCTTCGGCTGCTGCTGTGACGATAAATGAACTCAAAGGGGGAGATCATGTCATGGATGAAACTAACTGGTCTGATGTTGAGTTTCTGAATGCGGCAAAGCCACCTACTTGGGTAAAAATTGAACCTTATTCAAAAGAATAGATTATTTTGACACGAAATGCAGTTAAAAAATATGGTTATGGTTAAAACTAAAGGTGTCACAATTCATTAATCACGGTTTTTAATGTCATTCACCGTGTTTTTCAGGGTTATCCTGCGTCCAAAGTGCTAGCCGAAAAGGCTGCATGGGAGTTTGCTGAGAAAAATGACATTGATTTAATCACTGTGATACCTACTTTAACAATGGGTCCTTATCTCACTCAAGATATGCCATCTAGTGTTGGCTTGGCAATGTCACTTATAACAGGTTCAAAGCAGTCAAATTCAATGGTTTAAGGACTGTTCTAAGGACTATACAAAAAAATGACTAATGTTTCAATCTCAATTTCATATCTTGCAGGCAATGATTTCCTAATTAATGCTTTGAAAGGAATGCAATTTCTGTCAGGTTCGATATCAGTTACTCATGTCGAGGATATTTGCCGAGCTCATATATTTGTCGCAGAGAAAGAATCAGCTTCTGGTAGATACATTTGCTGTGCTCACAATACCAGTGTTCCCGAGCTTGCAAAGTTTCTCAGCAAACGTTACCCTCAGCATAAAGTTCCAACTGAGTAAGAATCAGCTTCTGGTCACACATTTTGTGCGAAATTTTTATCTACGAAGTCCAAGTGTTTTCAACAGAGAAAAAATTATCAAAGTATGTTTTTGAATTGCAGATTCGAGGATTGCCCTAGCAAGGCAAAGTTGATAATATCTTCTGGAAAGCTTATCAAAGCAGGGTTCAGTTTCAAGTACAGTATCGGTGAAACTTATGACCAGACTGTGGAGTATTTGAAGACTAAGGGGGTCTTGAAGAAGTAAAGTTATCGGTGAAACTTATGACCAGACTGTGGAGTATTTGAAGACTAAGGGGGTCGTGAAGAAGTAGAGTTCTGATATTTTCAATTCTCTAACAAACTCTAAGTATGTTATGTGTTTGTTGAGTTTAGAGTGTGAAATATCAAGTGAATAAGAATAATGGAGGGAATGACATGTTCATCTTGTGAATCCCTTAGTATATTACCACCTAATTAAACCCCTCTAATATTATTATTATTATTATTATATGTCATTACTATTACTTTGATAATATTACTATTCAACTCTTGTTATCAGTGGAATAGCCATCAATGATAAAAAAAACTTCTCATGAGGAACATAATATTCTTCAGTCTAATAATGTTAGGGGGCTTCACATTCCCAATAGTTTAACAAAGAGATTAATTTCAATGCACGGACGGTGCAAATAGATTATACAATTGACTTTATATTTATAACTCTTGAAGATAAACTTTTAGCCAATTAAACGGAATTAAAAGAAGATAGATGATTTAAACATTCAAGAACACCGACAAACTCCTATGATTATCGGCTGTGCAATCTGCGCAGCTCCTCTGAACGCTCAATAGATGAAAAGTCACGAGTTCCTGGCTGTTCCACTTCGACAGACACTTCGCTTAATGCAGTAGAAGATGCCCGGCTAGGAGTTCTTTTAGGCTTCTTATAAAGCTTAGATAATGCTTGAACAGCGGTCCTCATTGAAGGTCTAGTTTTGGAAACTCCACTGACACATTTGAGTGCAAGTGAAGCCATATCATTCAGCTTGTTTACATCGTAGTTTCCATTCAGTTGCGGATCCACAATTTCTTCCCATCCAATCTTGCCCTCACTTTCCATGGCAGCCTAATCATATCCAGAAAGAAATATTTTGTGAATCCTATACATATATAATATAAAAGTTATATATATACTAATTATCAATGAGTTATATAACTATACGTTGATAATGTAATCACATGTTACTCATATCTGACTGAATTTTACCATCTTACTACATCATATTTCCCCATGACGAGTGTATCTACGAGTGTGGCATGTGATTAGACATCTCTATAAAACTACTCCGTACTATATATTTTCAAATGTGCCAAAACATACTTATGCGCAGCAGCATGGCCGCATGTATAGAAGCCAACAGGGAGATGCTGTTCTTACTAGTTTCACGTATTCCATGAGCCCCTGCTGTGGATTCCTTCCAGTAATAAGCTCGAAAAGTAGCACACCAAAACTATATACATCGCTTTTCTTAGTGAACGTACTTGTAGATATATACTCAGGATCAAGATATCCAAAAGTTCCTCTGATATTGGACGTACGCGGTTTAATCATCTCTGGTCTCGAAAGCCCAAAGTCAGTGACCTGCCCAATAATATATAGATGTTAAAAAGAATATTAAGCTTCAATGAATGTTTTCAAGCATCATTGATACTCCTACTATTCATCTTTGTGTAAACTGAATGGAAAGGTTGGTTACCTTGGCTTTCATAAACTCATCCAATAGAATGTTGGAAGACTTGATGTCACGGTGAACAATAGGTGGATCAGCCTGCAATGAGTTAATTATTAAGAAAAAGAAAAGAAAAAAAAAAAGTAAACATGTTCTCTGTTCTCAATGTGTAAGTTTACTAAATTAACAAACAAGTTTTGAGTATAATATATACCCCATAATGTAGATATTCCAGCACCCTTGCAACATCTAGTGCTATGCTAAGTCTCAAATCCCAGGTTAATGGCTCTTGATCTTTTCCTGGATCATCAACACAACCTAAGGTAAGTAAAAGGGGGTAACAACAAGAGTTCAAGTAAAAATTCTTCTTAGCTATTGTTGAAAATATGAAAATTTGTTTTGCCTATAATTAACCTTTGTTTAATAGGCATACATGGTCAAGTTGAGTGTATGTAAATAGAGATGTTTAAGTTTTTGGAGGCCCTATGTAAGTTAACCACGATTAAAGTGTGACAAGTTATTTCAAATTAAATAACGGTCCTATTTTGTCATGGTTTAACCGTGACAAATATTTTATGACTATTTAGCCACGGTTTAAAAGTGTCAAATTTTGGGACCTGTGCGGTAGCCTGCCTTGCACGCCCTCAAGAAGTAGATGAAAGAGAGCTAATATAGCACGGTATTGCACTTTCAAGAAGTAAATATAAACTCCAATCAGAGGATAATCAAATGTTTTATTTTCCCAAAGACAAAAGTAAAAAGTACTCATTTTTAAATTATTTTATGAGTGTCTATTGGTATATCATCCATACAAGACAATACAACTTCAGACAAATATTCACATGAAACTATTTTCTATGGAACAAAGAAAGGAGCCATTGCACACTGAGAACATCTATTCCATTGGGCAATATCCTAACAAATATTTTCCTAAAAACATAAAATGACAAGAATAATTTTCTTTCTAACCATATAAATGAGAAGCAAGACTTCCATTGCTCATGTAAATGTAAAGGAGCATATGTCGTCCTCTTTCCGCAGCATATCCCACCAAAGCCACAAGGTTTTTGTGATGTAATCTTCCAAGTAATAGAACCTACTAGCAGGAGAGCAAAGCTTGAGAGTTTTCTAATTTCATCAAACTATCTTTAAACCCCTTTATTAAACAGTTGTACAGAACAGCAGGAGGGAATCTTGTTGGAAACTAAAGCGAGTTAGAAATGGAGTAACAATACATTTGTACCATTATTACAAAAAAAATGTTTCTTCATTCAATAATTGCATACTTTCAAAGAAAACTACATGAACAATTAGATGGAGACGTGAGGATATTAACATTAACATATCATCAGGTATTACCTCAGTTAAAAATTCTTGTTCTCCTTGTCTTGAATTAGCACCAAGAACTTTAACTGCAACCGTCTCACCTGTAGGCATTTGTGCTTTGTAAACAGAACCAAATGCTCCATGGCCTATGATCGTTGTGAAATTAGAAGTAGCCTTTTCTATTTCTCTAAAATAGGAGTAACAAGGTTACACAACAGGAGAAATATAAATTAACCTAACACAAAAAGTGCAATGAAATTAACATTCTCAACCAGAATCTCTTAACTTTCTCAACAAGAAAGCTAAGAGATTCTAGTAGCTAAAATGATTGGTCAGTCAAGAGAAGTAAGAAACAAAAATGCAATGGAAATTAACATACTTGTAAGAATACTTAGGAATTCCAAATGCTGAGACTGAACTCTTCCTCCTAAGTCCTTCTAACCAAAAATTTGCGTTACTCCATTCCGATGTTCTTGGCGACTCCAAAGCTGCATTGGAGTCTGATAATGATACGCTTGAATCAACCCTTTTGACATGACCAGTAATGGCCTCGGTCCTCTGAGGACTGCTCTTTTCCCCCTCTACAAACTTCCTCCCACACATGAAGAGGACTAAAATTAAAAATCCCAAACCAGCTCCAATTACGAAGCCTATGCCTATTCCTATTATCAATATCAATAGATCCCTATCCATCTTATGGAAATTGAGAAATACTTATAAGTCTGCCAATGTACCTAAAAATGCAGACAGAAACTTCAGAAAACTAACAAGAGCTATTCACATCAACATCTTGCTGCATAAAATTGAAACATATTCCAAACAACCCCTTGTTTTTGTCATAAGAAAAAAAGCTATATAAAAAACTTAAACTTAACTGCTACATGAAATTGCATCTAGATGCAACCTTAACCATTGTTAATTGAAATCACTTTTCTTAACCATCCAAACATTCTTCCACTTGTGATTGAGTGGCTTATCATTTACTTAAATGACTTAAATATATTAACCATCTATGGATGAATCAAACACGGAAATTGCAAGTATATCATAACAATCCACGCGTTTTGGAATAAAATCCTTGATTTTCTTGTTTTATATTTCACTAACTTTATAACAAATCACGCGCTTCTGAATAAAACCTTTTGATTTTCTAGCTTTATATATTACTAACTTCATAACAAATCACGCGTTTTGGAATAAAACCATTTGATTTTCTCACTTCATATTTTACTAACTTTAGAGGAGTCAAATTCATCAATCACATGTGAAGCACAGACACCCCAATTACGACACGGACACCGACACGGCAACATCGGTCATAATTTGAAAAATGAATAAATTAAATATAATTACAAGTGTCGGTGTAGATGTCAATATCTGACACGGAAACACCATTTTTCAGTGCCGGTGTTACATAGTCAATATCACAATAGAATACCGAAATGAAGAATAAACTCAATACAAACAGAATCAGAACTCAAATTTAAACTCTAAACTCCATTAAACTAACTATTATCACCATTCATGCAGACTTAAAAAGAGGAATGAACAAATTAATACAAAATATCAGCTTCTGAAAAGAAAGAAAAAAAAAAAGAAACACAAAAGATGCATGCTACGTTGTTTTCCACGATCATCGTCGTGAAATTGAAAAACCTATAGAAATCCAATAAAAATGGAACCGAACAGAATAACAACACGTTCTACGATAATCGATACTGAAAATATATGAAATTTAAAATAATAATAATAATAATAAAATACAAAAAAAAAAACAGTGAATCTGAACTGAAAGAGAGAGGGAGAGAGAGAACCATAAGATATAATAATGAGGAGAATGCAAAAGATTTTAATCCATTTCCATGGGTGAGAGAAGGAAGAGAGTGAGAGCATGAAATGCAGTGAGAGCGTAACGATGCTTTTTCACCAAAATATAAGCGGTTTCATTTCATTTATATTACAAAAAACAAATACAAAATAATACTACAATTTGTCCAAAAAAAAATGAAAAACAATTTTGGATAAAGCTAAAAGTGCTTTATAAATATTAATTACTTTTTTACTAAAATTGTCATTTTTAAATAATTAAAATATTTAATGTATAATAAATCATATTTGCTATTTAATTCTTTAATTAATCCCTTTAATAAGTTGATTATAAAAATATTTATATCATTTATTTATTATTATTATGAGGAAATTATTTAGTTGATTTTATTATATATTTTTTAGTTTAATGAAATGCAACGTGAGTTAGTGTAACACTATGGTTGGTAAAAAATTATTAATTTTTAAATTTTTTAAATTGTTTTAAAATATCAGTAAAATTTAGCGAGGTGTAACTCGTTTATTGGATGATGTATGCATCTCCCATTTTCTTTTTTGTTACGAAAATAATTTTAGATAAGTTAATAGTTGAGTCAAACTTCAAGGGCTCAAAGAAAATATATGAAAATATTTGTTAGTTACTCATTAAATAGATTTTTACATGGTCAATGAAAATTTAATTCATTTTTTATGAGATATAAAATTAATTCTTTATCAACTTAATTAACTTTATAGGCAATCTTACTATTATGGTATTTGATTTGAATGTTAGAAATAAGTCAAAGATATTTAAATAAGAATTACGTTAGCAACACAAAAATCTTGTAACAAATAGTATGTGTCTACCTCTAATTGCAATTTAATTGATGATTCACTCTACTATTTTAATTATTTAAAAGGATTTTGAACTCATGTATATAAGATTAGGTGGTCTACTAGTTAATTTAGATACCTAATCATCATATTTCTTTTAAAAAAAGATTGTATACCTTTAAAGAAATTTATGTCTAAGGCATTCGGCATGGTTATAATGATACCTTTTTTTCTTTTTTTTTTTCATGAATTCTCATTATAAGTGTAGAAAATTTTTTGTTGAGAATGTAATTCTTTGTGTCGAAGTAGGTAATATTCGATAAAAATAAGGACGTGTCAAAATTAATCTAGTGTGTATGTGCCGGAATGTCGAATTAGGTTGTTCGACATGATTTTAACTTAGACCTATTTTAATAGTATTAGCTAAATTGGATATTTTGTGCTTTTGTGTTTTGGGCTTTGATTTAGGCAGCAAGCTAACATAAAATTATAAATAGACTGAGTAACCCTTATTTTTATAACAACTTGAATTCACAGGATTTTGCAGTTACAGAGTGAATAAGTTATTCATAGTCTGTGGGCAGAGAGTTACTCTGCAGAAATCACCATCTTCTTCTATATTTTGTCAAACCCTAATTTTCTTTCTTCTTCAATTTTTCTTTCTTTTCATTGTTATAATGTATCGATAACAATCTTATTCATCAAGATTGATAGAAATTCTCCATAGGTTGTGGTGGATTTCCAACATCTGGTATCAGAGCCTGGTTGAGCAATTCGTGGAAAGAAAATCACGATGGCAATGAATCATCCAAATGGGCATTTTTCGACGAGTCTTCTGATTCTCAAGAACAATAATTATAAAAATTAGTGCAAGCAGATGAAAGTTGTCTTATGTTATCAAGATCTTTGGGATCTTGGGAAGAAAGGAGTAACGTCACTTGCAGAAAATACAATGGATCAAGAAAAGACCACACACACAAAATTGAAGAAGAAAGATTATAAAGCTCTCTTTATAATTCATCAATATGTTGATCTAGATAATTTTGAAAAGGTTAGTGATGTAGAATCAACAAAAGAAGCATGGAAAATTATGGAGAAATCGTTTGGAGGCGTAGAAAATGTGAAAGATGTGAAGTTACAAACTTACAAAAGAAACTATGAATTGCTTCAGATGGAAGACAATGAAAGCATAACAGATTTTTTCACTAGGGTTACAAAACTGGTGAATCAAATCAAGGTATGTGGAGAAATGTTGACATCAAGATCAGTTGTTGCAAAGATCTTGAGGTCATTGACTCCAAAATTCGACCACGTAGTAGTAGTCATAGAAGAGTCGAAAGATTTGTCAACATTGCCAAATGAAAAGCTTCAAGGACACTTAAATCTCATGAAAAAAGGATGGGTGAAAGAGCTGCAGGCAAGTCGAATACGAATATGGCTTTGCAGGTGTAATCAACAAAAGAAAAGAAAGGCAAAGGAAATTGGAACGGAAACAAAGGCAGAGGAGGCTACAACAATTTGACTGGTCGAAATCAACAAGAAGGAAACTGGTCGAATAAGAGAAAACCCTGGAACCAAGGCAATCAAAGAGGTGGTGTTGCAGGTTGAGGAAGAGGCGGTGGTCAAAAACCTAACAAAAGTCACATTCAGTGTTACAATTGTCAGAAGTATGGTCACTATTTTAGTAATTATACTGAAAAGCAGAAGAATCAAGAAATTGATGCAAAGCTTGCTAAACATGATGAATAAGAGATGTTGTTGATGGTTACAACAAGAGATGAAGAAAGATTTCAGGACGAATGGTACTTGAACTCAAGATGCTCATCACATATGACTGGTAGTAAAGAATGGTTTGTCAACATAAAGCCCTCAATGAAGAACATGGTGAAATTTGGAAATGACAATACTCTAACAGGTGAAGGTATCAGTGATGTTCTGATTATGAGTAAAGATGGCTAAAGATCGGTAATTTCCAATGTGTTATACATACTAGGCATGAAGAGCAATTTGCTCAGTATAAGGTGGTTGGTCAAAAAGAACTATAAGGTGTCGATTAAAGACAAGATGATGAGAGTTCTCGACTTAAATGGAAGGTTGATCTTGAAGACTTCAATGTCTCATAACATAACCTTCAATATTGAGCTTAATGTGATAGAACATAAGTTCCTTACAACTGTAGCTAGCAAGGATGAATGGATATGGCACTATAGACTTAATCATCTCAACTTTAAAGACATCAGAGAACTGAAGAGAAGAAATATGGTTTCAGGATTACCGCAAGTTGATATTCCAAATGAAGTGTGTGAAGAATGTGCGGAGGCAAAGAAACACAAGAGTAGCCTCAGAAAGGATGCATGAAGCAAGTCGAAGGAAATTCTTGAAGTCATATTCTCCGATGTACGTGGTCCTATGCAGATGGATTCAATTGGAGGTAACAAATACTTTGTCACTTTCATAGATGATTTCAGTCAAAAATTATGGACTTACCTGATCAAGAAGAAAATTGAAGTGATCGAGATATTTGGCAAATTAAAATCTATGGTCAAAAGACAAACTGGTCAAAAGCTAAAGATTCTGAGGACTGATGGTGGTGGAAAATAGATGTCGAAAGATTTCGATGCATTATGTGAGAAAGAAGGGGTTGTGCATGAGGTGGTGTCACCCTACACTTCACAGCAGAATGGAACTGCATAAAGGAATAATAGAGCCATCATGAATATGGTGAGAAGTATGTTGAAAGACAAGCATCTATCCAAATAATTATGGGGAGAAGCTGTGTCGACTGCGACATACATCTTGAACAGATGTCCGACGAAAAAGCTAAAAGGAATTACACCAGAAGAGTGTTGGTCTGGTGTTAAGCCTAACCTAAGTCATTTGAATGTGTTTAAATCTATAACACATAGACATGTGCCAGATGAGTTGAGAAGAAAACTTAATGTTAAGTAGAGTCAAATGATCTTGATAGGATATCATTCGACTGGAGGATACAAGTTGTTCGATCCAGTGAGCAAGCAAGTAGTGATCAGTAGGGACGTGATCATAGATGAAAT